ATATATATATATATATATATATATGTATGTGTGTGTGTGTGTGTGTGTGTTTTCCTGATTTAGATTTTCAGATTCAGATTTAGCTTGCTTGTGAGGACATTCATGTCCCCAAACTAAAGTCGAGTTCACACTCCTGTACATTCACCGCTGTAGTTTCTCTCTCAATCTCTCTCACCCTTTCAATCCCCTGAAACAGACACTAGATTCATATTCATAAATCAGATTAATCTGCAGATGTTCCAGAAAGACGAATCTGGAAAGTATGTGGATGAGAAATGGAGAGAGAGAGTGTGAGAGTGAGTGAGTGAGTGAGTGAGTGAGTGATTCTGTTGGCTCTGACTGATAACAGCACAGAGAGAGTCATCAAGGTCACTTTATGCTGCACGGACACCTTCCTATCTGAGCCGTTACCCAAAAGCCTCTGCTGCTTCCTCCTGATCAATACAACATGAGCAGAGACAGAAGAATGACAAACATCAATCGATCCAACACTAAGAGATAAGCGGCACTGGCACTACAAGAAACAAAAAGAGCAAGCTGTAGGGGAAAAAGAGATATTATTATTAATATGTATTTATTTAAAGTTGCATTTACATGCCAGTGTGTCTATATATAATGTTACTAATACTATGTTTAATTTCAATCTTTTAGATTTTAGACTGCACATTTCATCTGGCATCAGTTTCTTTCTTATTCAGAAAATCCAAGGTTACTCTCTCCAATAACTGGAGATGTTACTTCAACACAGCATTTTTATTTCGAAATATTGTCATTGTTTACAGCATAACTTGCATTAAGGGATGCATTGTGTTTAAATATTCATGACTTCTTAAGGAATGGTTCACCTTATATATTTTGGTCTTTTCCTCACACACAGCTATCATATGACTTTCCTTTAAGGCCGGGGTCTCCAAACTCAGTCCTGCAGAGTTTAACTCCAGCTCACCTCGACACACTTGCCTGGAAGTTTCTAGTAAGCCTAGTAAGACCTTGATTGGCAGGTTCAGGTGTGTTTAATTAGGGTTGTAGCTGAGCTCTGCAGTACAGTGGCCCTCCAGGAGCAGGATTGGACACCCCTGCTTTAAGGAGTCGTGAGTATTAATGCGCCGTGTTTCTCTCGGTACATTGACGCTATCTCTGGATGCCCATCGTCATGGTAACAGGCTTGTTTGATGACTTGGCCGTTTGCCGTGCAAGAACAGACTGGCAGACGGAGCTCTGAGATAAACAAACAAACAAACACATGCATAAGCAGCTCTGCAAGCGATTAGTACACAAGAGTAGATCATAATTTTACTTTTAAATGAAATCAGATGTGGAGATTGTTCTCGGCGGACCAGATTTCGTTTTCTGCTGCCAGGCAAGCTCATTTCTTTGTGTCGATTGTGTTTGCAAACCGAGCGAACTAATGAACAACCTGAAGACACGAATCGACATGCCCAAAGTTCAGCTCTGGATCGGTTCAGTCAGGCTGCTGAGAAGAAATAGTCAAGTGAGCAGTGATCTCTGCTGTGTTTTACGGTTTTAATAATTTAATGATGAAATATAAGGTACATGAACTATATTTTAATGTTTACAGATTAAAGTTTGTTAGCTGATGAACTCTGACAAACAAAGTACTACCCAATCATGTAATAGATTTTTGTATCTAAAATTAATGAAGGTTTATGTACAGCATTCAGAAGTAATTATCTGCAAAGAAAAGCAATCTGTCAAAAGAATTTGCAATGTAAATATTCCATTAATGTTTTATATTAGTTTATATAAATTTCAATATCTGATATAATAATTATTTTCAATAATTATAAAATAATCAATATATTATGCTGAATAAAATATCAAACATTTAAAAAATGTACAGATGTAATAAAGTGTCCATGGTACTGTGCTACAAAATGACAATATGATACAGAAATAATGCATAATTTTTGGAAATTACAAAAAAAGAGAAACATTTTGGAACAATATATCAACAGATCAACAATGTTAACTAGATATATTACTAGACCTTAATATTAGGTAAGATTGATTTATTGAGTTAGAAAACTTCATATATATTTATATAATATGCAGTTTTCTTACTTAATGAATCAAACTTACAGTAATTTATATCTATCTATCTATCTATCTATCTATCTATCTATCTATCGTTCTATCATTCTATCATATTGTTCTATCTGTCTGTCTGTCTATCTATCTATCTATTGTTCTTTCGTTCTATCTATCTATCTATCTATCTGTCGTTCTATCTATCGTTCTATCAAATTTATATCTATCTATCTATCTATCTATCTATCTATCGTTCTATCATTCTATCATATTGTTCTATCTGTCTGTCTGTCTGTCTATCTATCTATCTATTGTTCTTTCGTTCTATCTATCTATCTATCTATCTGTCGTTCTATCTATCGTTCTATCATTCTATCATATTGTTCTATCTGTCTGTCTGTCTATCTATCTATCTATTGTTCTTTCGTTCTATCTATCTATCTATCTATCTATCGTTCTATCATATTGTTCTATCTGTCTGTCTGTCTGTCTGTTCTTTCGTTCTTTCGTTCTATCGATCGATCAAATCGATCTATCTATCTATCTATCTGTCGTTCTATCTATCTATCTATCTATCTATCTATCTATCTATCTGTCGTTCTATCTATCTATCTATCTATCTATCTATCTATCTATCTGTCGTTCTATCTATCTATCTATCTATCTATCTATCTATCTATCTGTCGTTCTATCTATCTATCTATCTATCTATCTATCTATCTATCTGTCGTTCTATCTATCTATCTATCTATCTATCTATCTATCTATCTGTCGTTCTATCTATCTATCTATCTATCTATCTATCTATCTGTCGTTCTATCTGTCGTTCTATCTATCTATCTATCTATCTATCTGTCGTTCTATCTATCGTTCTATCATATTGTTCTATCTATCTGTCTGTCTGTCTGTTGTTCTTTCGTTCTTTCGTTCTATCGATCGATCAAATCGATCTATCTATCTATCTATCTATCTGTCGTTCTATCTATCTATCTATCCTGTCGTTCTATCCATCTATCTGTCTATATAAATTGTAAAACAGCCAGCACCCCACAGTCTCCCGGACAAAAGGCCATATTTACAATAAAACAAATCAAGTATTTAAAAAAAATTAATATTGTTCTGTGTATTATATCTGCATGATGATAAATGAATTTGTACGGACTCTTTTTCAGGTTGTGGTGACCTCTGCGCCCCCATCACTGTCTGTCAGGCCCCGGATGAGTGGATCAACGACACATCCGTCCCATCAGCGGCCACAGCATGTCCAGCGGGACGCCAGTACTGTCCGTACACTGAGCGCTGTCTGCCCTTGGCCAGCCCCTGTCATCCCGGAGCTTGTGTGAACTGTTCTGGGGTCAGTCCTCTGCCTGCGGGCACACAGTATCCTGATTACAGACTCGTCAGGGAGGTGCTGATCACCCTTCCAGCCGGACCGCCATCCAACGTCCTGGTGAGTTTGACCGAAAACCTGGACCTGCACCTAATCAAAACCTGACTGGATTCCATCTGAAATCTTCACTTCTACTTAAGAATGAAGAAATTCACGAAAACAGTCAAGAACATGTCTCATAACTTTACTTAAGAATGAAGAAATTCATATTTTGTACTCTCAAAAATGGTAAAGAACGGTCAAGAACATAACACTGTTTCTCATTGCATTAATGTGAAAATATATGATTTATAATAATTTTAACTAAACAAATTTGCTTTGTGTAATTTACGCTGAGAAAAAAAAAAAAAAAGCTTTTGTGTAAAAAAAATCAATAAAAAATTGCATTAATCAGCTTTGAGAGCAATGGAAGTAAAAAAAATAAAAAAAACTCCAGAATTATGGAAATGAAAATGTGATTCATTTTCAAAAATAACATCACAATGCAAAAAAATCTTCTAAAAAATAGGTTTCATTTTATTTATGCAAAATATAATTTCTGTGTCTTGACGGATTTCATAAGGTTCAACCACTGACTGTCGTAGTTCTCTTCTGTAAATCTGGAACATAGACCACAAGTCCAGCATGCTTGAGCTTCAGGATGAAATGTGAGAGCATTGAGCTTTTAATGAGAGGTTGAGTGTGTGTGTGGGCCTGCGGGTCATCTATTTCACCCTCCTTCAGTGTGTTCTGCCTAAACAGAGCGTTTGAAGAGTAAATGCGGGGCAGCTCAGAATGTCCTCCAGTGACGTTCAGATCACAGTTAATTATTTCCACTCCCTCTTTGCTGCCTGAAAGCCAGTCCTAATAATGACCCTCAGTGTGTCTGACGAAGAGACATGCTTCTCTTCACAGCTTTCTTTTGGGGCAGTTTTTGTGTATTTTTCTGTGGTATTTGAAGTCTGTTTCAGGGCACAGTGTAATTCCAGAGGTCGGGACATTATTAAGGGTAATCACTGTCCCCCTCGCGGGCCCAGTGTTGACATTTGGTCAGGTTTTGCTCTCAGAACAGTGCATTTTATAAACAATAGAATGTTATCGCAAGCGGTGTTTTGAAATGGAAGATGATTAACAGAAAAATATATACATAAAGCAGGTGTATTTCTTCAGAATAGGATATATATCGCCTTAAAGGACTTTTTCAGATATATATCTCTTCTTTTAGCTGGCGGTTGTTCGGACGGCTTCCCAAAACCAATTCGAACACATTGCATATATGAACAAATATTGAATATTATGCATTCTGAGCATACAAAAATGACATAAAATTCACAGAATGTCAAAGTGAGAATCCAGATTTGATTGGTGAATCATTTATTTACACTATCGTTCATAAAATTGGGGTTGGGAAGATTTTATTATTTTTTTGAAAAAAGTCTCTTCTGCTTACCAAGGCTGCATTTATTTGATCAAAAATACAATAAAAACTGTAATTTCATGAAATATTTTCACAATTTAAAAGACCTGTTTTCTATATGAATATGTTGTAAAATGTAATTTATTCCTGTGATCAAAGCTGAATTTTCAGCATCATTACTCCAGTCTTCAGTGTCACATGATCTTCAGAAATCACTCTAATATGATGATCCGCTGCTCAAGAAGCATTTCTGATTATTATCAATGTTAAAAACTGTTATTTTTTATTTGTTAAAAATAAATATTTTTGTGGAAACTGATAGCATGCATTTGAAATAGAAAAGTTTTGCAACATTACAAATGCCTTTACTTCTGATCAATTTAATGTAGGCTTGATAAATAAAAGTATTCATTACTTAAAATAAAAAAAAAACTCACTTATTCCACTCTTTTTAATGGTAATGTGTATATAAACCATGCAAATTACCCAATTTGAAACAAAGCGATAAATGGCTTATATTTATATGCTGTTTAGGCTAACCTAATTAAAAAGAAAACACTTAAGATTAATTAAAATTAATCATGCTACAAGTTAATTTAGGAAATCACAAACTTATAATTTTTACATTATTAAAAAATAATGTACAATATGAAAAATGGATGCATGCTAATTATTACAAATTAAGTGTTATTAGTGTTTTTAGTGAGCATTAGATGACTCATTAAATGTAAAAACGGCAAATTAGCATGCACAATCAAATATACAAAATAATCATCTGATAACTGATACTGTACTGATATATTGTGCATTTCTAATTGTCCCAGCTAGTTGGCACAATAAAACATAACAACAACAACAACAAAAAGTAGCTTGTTACTAGAAAAACTGTTTCGAGTGCACACATTCAATCATTCGTTATGCATTCCCTCTCACTCAGGTCCAGGATGGCATAGAGGACTTATTGGTTTCCCCTGGCGACTTCTTTGCCCTGCAGCACGACGCCGGGCCGTCAGGACTCCTCCAGTGCTCCTCTGACCCCTCGTCGCCATGGAAACAGAGTGTGCTCATCCAGAACCGCTCCAATTGGTGGGACGCAAACGAGACGCTTCAGGTGGATGCGGAGGGCGGCTGGGAGGAGGACATGGTGTGCCAGGTGAGGGTGCTGTATGTGGGGCAGAACAGCACCGCGCTGCAGGGTTCCTTTCTCCGCTCTGGCCTCCCTCAGCTTGGCGACCACAGTTTGGAAGTGACGTCCAGCGATGAGGATTTTCCTGTCACCGCATCCTGTCCCATCCATGTCGTTCCACCTCTGGGCCCAACCGTGATCTATCCCACCAATCGCAATGGGACGGTGTACTTCCTGCCCAATCAGACGTGGATTCTCGTCATGGTCCGCTCGCAGCACGACGCTCAGATTGGGTGGCAGGTCAGCAACGAGACCGTTCCCGTTCATGACACGTGTCCCGAGAACCTGATGGCGAAAGTGGCCGAATGCAGGCAGCCCGACCCGTACAACGACACCATGTTCGCATGGTTTGACCTCCAGCTCGGGTCCACACCGGAGCAGACCAACGTGCTGCTTCACGTCCAGAGCAACGTTACCACAACATCGCTACAAATTCAGGCGAGGGTGCAAGAACCTCTCCAGGGGCTCGTCATCAAACCCCATCCTGCTCACAGAGTCCTTATGGAGTCCGTAGTGGTGAGTGACATCCTCACTGCTGAGAAAAAAAAACATTTTAACAAGGTGGTTTGCTGGTTTTGGGCTAGTTTTAACTGGTTTCCCAGCCTGACAAATGTCCAAAACCTGTCTAAAACCATCAAAACAGACCACATTAGGCTGTTTTAAACAACTACAAAGGATTATGTATTTATTGCTAATATTGTAAAAACAGTTTAAACCAAGAGGCTTGCTGGTTTAAAGTGGTTTCCCAGCCTGACAAGTATCCAAAACCTGTCTAAAACCATCTTAACAAACTCGATAGCCACCTTAGGATGGTTAAAACCCTTTTTCCAGCATGACTTTACCTTCTAAATATCTACCATTCAAGAATAGTGTATTTATTGTTAATACCAGGTGGTTCGCTGTTTTTTTGTGCTGGTTTAAATTGATTTCCCAACCTGACAAGTTCCCAAAACTCATCTAAAATCATCAAGGCTGACTGGTTTGAACCATTTTCCAGGTTGAATTTACCTTCTAAACATCTACTGTTCAAGAATAGTGTATATATTGTTAATAGTACCAGGTGGTTTTCTGGTTTAACAAGGTATCCCAGCTCAAAACATGTCTAAAACCATAACAAATAGACCCACTAACCACCTCAGGCTGGTTTAAGCCTTTTTTCCAGCTGTTTTAAAAACCACTTAAATCAGATGGTTTGCCGTCTTTTTGCTGGTTTAAACTGGATTTCTGGCTTAAAAAGTCCCCAAAGCCTGTCTAAAATCATCAAAACAGACCATATTACATCAAATTAGTCAGGTTTAAGCCATTTTTTTAGCATGACTTTACTTTCTAAACATCTGTTGTCCATGGATAGTATATTTATTGCTAATATTTTAAAACCCAATAAAACCAGGTGGTTGGCTTGCTGGTTTAAAATGGTTGTCCAGCCTGACAAGTGCCCAAAACCCGTCTAAAACCATCAAAACAGATCAAATAATGACCTAAGGCTGGTTTAAACCATTTTCTCAGCATGCCTTTACCTTCCTTCTAAACATTTACTGTCCAAGGGTAGTGTATTTATTGCTAATATTTTAAAACCTGCTTAATCCAGGTGGTTTGCTGTATTTTTGCTGCTTTAAACTAGCCTGACAGATGCCTAAAACCTCTCTCAAACCATTAAAGCAGACCCGCCTAACCACCTTAAGCTGGTTTAAACCATTCTTTAAGCATAGTTTTACTTTATAGACATCTGCTGTCCAAAGATAGTGTGTTGTTCATAATATTTTAGAAACTGCTTAACTCATGTGGTTTGCTAGTTTTAGGCTAGTTTAAACTGATTTCTAAACATCTACTGTCCAAGGATAGAGTATTTATTGCTGATCTTTTATGTTTTTGTCCATAAAAGATGTCTGTGAGACAGAAGCTGACGATTTCATGCTGGCCATTATCCACCGTGTCGCCTTTGTTATATCCCTGACCTTCATCTTTAATAGTCTTATTATTTGCTTACTTCTCCTCCCTCTTGTATTACAGAGTTACACGGCTTCTGTGGAGGGAGGTACGGACCCGTCGTTCAAATGGACGGTGGATGATAAACCATACTTCACATACTATAACAGCATGTTAAATATCATCTACCAGAACACAGCAGTGTACAAACTCACGGTGACTGGTTTTCATTGAACTCAGCCCAGTTTATGTAAAGGAAACACTGATTCCATCAGCTTGGCAACTGACCCATCTCTCGTCTCCTAGGTAACGGCTATGAACCAGGTTAGCATGCTGACAGAGCACTTCAACGTCACGGTGGACCGCATGAACCCGATGACTGAGCCGACCGTCCATGGAGTCCCCAAAATCGTGCAGCAGGGTTTGCCCCTGAACCTCTATGCATCGGTGAAGATAGACATGGCGGTGGATGTCGCCTTCTGGTACGTTCTATGACAGTAAAGCTCTGACTGGTCAAATAAAAGAGCCATCAAATTAATTAAAAGCTTTCACCAGTTTCATGATTCATTGGTCAATATGAAGGATGTTTTAAAGGAACACTCCACTATTTTTGAAAATAGGCTCATTTTCCAACTCCCCTAGAGTTAAACAGTTGAGTTTTACCGTTTTCGAATCCATTCAGCCGATCTCCGGGTCTGGCGGTAGCACTTTTAGCTGCAGCTTAGCATAGTTAATGCAGTGATTTACAGTAATGTTATTGTCATAAAAAATACAGTAATAGTAGCAAATAATGATAGATTTCATAAAGAAGTCCTAGAATTAGGATGCATTGATATGAAACACACAATTACAATCTAATCAGTTCCTGATGGGTGAAATCAAGCTCTTTCATGCTTTTTTTTTCTTATATGTCACATTATGGAAGTAAAATGGGTTGTGAATGCTCTCTTTAAATATGTCTCTACTTGGAGAGATAGATGGCTTTCTACAAGACTATTTAATGTACACAAACTTTTTCTCTACGGCTTCCACCGCCTCACACACACTCTCAGCCTGCTCCCCTTTAATGGCACTTTTCTCTAGATTTACAGTCTGTGGTTAGCGCAGAATGCTGACAAGAATTTTCCCTTCAACGCCGAGCATAGAAAGATTCCCAAAGTTTCCATTCCATCCCCCAGAAGCCTGCTGCGCGCCACTGCAGATGTCTGCTTTATTTATTTATTTTTCATGGATTTCTCAATATATTGTCAAAAAAGTCTGTCAGACGAGTACTGTAGGGCGATTTCTTCCCCGCGCTTTTATCTCGTCTGCTCAATATCTCTGGAGTTCAGCCCGCCGCTTGTTCAGTCAATCGTAATACCTGATTCTCCTTTGGGTTCCACTTCCATAGAGAAAGTGGGGATAAGATGGAGCGAGAGATGAAGGTGTATCGCTGGGAGCCGAGGCGATGATTCAACAGCAGCTCCACCTCTCCCTCCTGCAGCGATGAGTCAGACAGCGAGATTTGCAAGAGAGAGCTTTTATTCCCTCCAGCTAAAAACGTCTTCAAAACAGACCTGCCACCTTGCTTTTATAAATTCCTGAGGCACCAAAAGAGAATCAAAGTTGTCTTCCCCCCCATCCTTTAGTCCCCTCTTTTATACAGCAATAAGCTTGCCTTTGAAGCCACCATGAAACCAGAGTTAACTTAATACATGTTCCTGAACTTACTGTGCACATTATTCAAAAGGAACAAAATAATCTGTAATGTAAGAATGAAGTGACTTGTCAAGTTTTTTTTCAACTCCCCAACCACTGTCCAATCAAATCCCTACTGATAAAACAAAGTACTGTCTTTTTGTTTTGTTTTGTCACATTACAATAAAATAGTAAAATAGTTTGCTATTTATGTTAACTTTAAAATTGCCTGAAAATGTTTTCGGTAAGGTCACAGTTGCCCAATGGCTTGTGCAATTAAAATCAAGATGCAGTATTTAAAGGGGTCATGAACGGCATATTTTTTATTGTTTTATTATGTCCTCTGAGGTCCACTTATAAAGTTAGCAAGATTTTTACATCAAAAACATCATAATTTAGAACTAATAGGCTGTTTTCTGTACTGTTTTACACCAACTCTACAAAACAGTCTGTTTTTATAGGCAGGGCGCATTCAAGATTCGGAAGTAAATCAGAGCATCTTGTAATCCTCGGAGGCATCTCTATGGTTTCGTTGATGGAGTAATCCTGTGTTTTCATCTTTCTAGTATTTCCTCTCCTCCTACTATTTGCTTGAATCAGTGGGCAGGCTAAAGAGGCAATAATGAAGAAGTAGGCATTTATTTTCTTCTGCAGAGGCTGAGCTTTCATTGCACTATGACGTTATTATGTGACAAATTCCAAAACGAGTCGTTTTGCTGCTTGGTTTCAATTAAAGCTGTTTTTGAACTAACGAGAAAGTGTTGAGTTCTGAAACTTACAGGATCCTTTTATAGTACATTGACCTGTTAGATGTCAAAAGATCAAGGGAAATTTGATTTCTCAGTTCATGACCTCTTTAAAAGCACTGTCTACACTGTGAGAAACTGTGAAAGCATTTGTAAAATAATGCATGCAATCAGGCATGCAGTGTGTGTGTTTGTGATGTTTTAATGTTTTTTTTTTTGTGTCACAGGTGGTGGTTTGGAGATGGAGGAAACCGTACACATCAGTTTAAGCCCCCTTACGATAACCCCGCTAGTAACCAGGTGGTGATTCATGACGATGTGTCATACATTTATGCACAGCCAGGTAAAAAAAAAAAGTGTAATTATTTATTCATATTGATTTATCCTTATTTTTACTTGTATTGATTATTTTTTATATCTATATTGATTTTTTTACTCATATTTCTTGCAGGGGAGTACACCCTATTGTTCTCTGCTTCCAACCGCTATGAGAACAAGACATGCAAGGTCAACGTATACGTCTTTAGCATTCTGACAAGTGTGCGAATCGAGATCAACCCACCCCTGCTACGTGCTGAAAAACCAGCTGACTTTGAGGCCCACCCCCTACCGTCTCCCTATGGCATCATCTACACCTGGAACTTTGGTGACAATTCGAGTGTCCAGCAGGGACGTGAACGTAGGGTTCCTCACGCTTACAATCACAGCGGTGTCTACAATATCTGCGTGAATGTGAACAACACCATTAGCTCGACAGACACCTGCATGGAAGTTATTGTCTATGAGGACGTTAGGGGCTTGGAGGTGATGCCATCTGCTCCCACGGAACGCAACATGCCTACCATTGTCACGGCAAGTCTGGAAGCAGGCAACAATGTAACTTGGAGCTTTGACATGGGTGATGGAACAGTGCACACTGGTGTGGTACCCCAAGCTGAATATACGTACAGGAAAGATGGAAACTACACCGTAAATGTCACCGCAAAGAATGCTGTGAGCTCTCAGTGGGTAACAATACCTGTTGAGGTGTTTGTGCTACAGGTGTTATCGCTAGAACCTTCTGGGTGCATTCAAGAAAACAAAGAGGTACGTTTCCATGCATTTGTGTCAGGGAACGCTTCAGGACATCAGTATGTGTGGAGTTTTGGAGACGGAAGCCCCAATGAAACTCAGTATGGAACACCACTGAAAACACACTCATACGTTAAGAGTGGAGAGTACCATCTCTCGCTACTTATGTCAAGTGAAGCTAACAAGGCTAATTTTTACACAAGGATCTGCGTCCAACCTGAACTCACAACAGTGTCTTTGTTTCCTCTGAGAACACACATCAAGTTCGGTGAGGAGAGCAAATTTACAGTAGCTGCCTTCCCAGAATTTAACTACACCTACCTATGGGATTTTGGGATTCTTGACACAAGAGGTCCTGTTCGAGGTGGTAAGGAGATGGCCTTTACATTCAAGAGTCCTGGGGAATATCTGGTCACAGTTTCTGCGCTCAACAACATCTCCTGTATCAACGACTCTGTTTTAGTTGTGGTGCAAAAATCTGTAGTTTTTTTGCTGATCAGCCATAATGGAGATAAAGAGAACAATCTTTCTTTACACCAAGACTATGCTTTCAAGGCATCTTCAGACTCTGTGAATGCTGTCTACATCTGGGATTTTGGAGATGGGATTCAACTTAATGGGACAAACGTATCACATGCTTACAATTCCTCAGGCAGGTTTAACATCACTGTTACAGGCAAGAATGAAGTTAGTGAAACCAAAAATGAGATTTCCGTTGTGGTCTTGGCACCAATCACTGGACTGTCGGTAAATGCCAGCCTTGTCAATGTCCCTTTGAACACTTCCGTCCACTTTGAGGCACACCTTGACCAAGGAGATGATGTAAGGTACTCTTGGATTCTCTGTGACCGGTGCACCTCTATCCAAGGCACTCACACCATGTTCTACACTTTTCGCTCTGTTGGGACCTTCAATGTCATTGTTACTGCAGAGAATGACATCGGTACGGTTCAGTCAAGCATTTCCATCTTTGTGCAGCGTGAGTTGGAGGGCTTACAGATAGTGGCTGATGAGCTTATTGAAGGATGCTGTTTTGCAACCAACCGTGTCCTTCACTTACAAGCCTCATTAAAAGAGGGCACCAACATGACCTTCAGCTGGAACCTTCTGAGGGAACATGAGAACCATGACTACAACCTCACGGGCAAGACCATAGACATCAATTTTTTCACCCCCGGTCCTTGTGATGTGCTCCTCAAGGCAACCAACTTGCTTGGCCAGCTGGCTGTGAACAAAACTATTGAGTTTCTGGATCCTGTGAGGGAGCTGGTCATTAAGATTTCACCAAACCCTGCTGCAGTAAATGCTATGACAAATATGACAGTATCTGCAACTTTTGGGACGGCCCTCCATTACAGATGGTGGGCAAATGGTGAACTGTTAACATCTGACATGTCCTCTGTCATGCACAGTTTCAGAAGTGCAGGTTTGAAACTGGTTAAAGTGGAGGTTTCCAACAAAGTCAGCTCGGAAATGGTCTCGAAGTGGATCAGCATTCAAGAACCGATCTCGGGATTGACTTTCATCGCCACAAATGTTACAGAGAACTTTGTAGCATCGGGGGACAATGTTTCGCTGCGTGCAGAAACACAGATGGGATCCAGCATTTCGTGGATGTGGCTATTGCCAGACAACACAAAATCGAACCAACGCACCACGTCCTATATCTTCCCCAAACCGGGAATTTTCACTGTTGTGTTGAATGCCACTAATGACATCAACAGAGAAACATGCTCACGTGACTTTACTGTTCAAGACCGTATCCAGGGTCTGGAGCTCAAGGCCAGCAAACAAATTGCTGCGGTTGGGGAAAACGTTGAGTTTACCATCTCTGTATCATCTGGAACTTCTGTTAATTTCATCCTGAGCATTAGTGGTGATGCAACTGTCGTTCTGAACAATCAAACCTACATCCACCAGTTCACTAGTGTGGCCAAGTACTACGTCAACCTTACTGCCCACAACCAGGTGAGTTCTGAACGAAGGACTCTGCATATTGAAGTCATGGAGCCTGTGACCAAGTTGACTATAAAGGACTGCTGTGATGCCGCTATACCTGTTGGCGTATCTAGGGCTTATGTAGCATGCACGCCAACACGTGAGCCGCTGACCATTCTGTGGACCTTTGACCTTCATCATGGTCTCAAGATTTCTCAGGTTGGCAAGTCAGTGACATATGCGCCAGAACAGCCAGGCAATCTGACCATATTCCTTAGAGCATTCAATTCCCTGAATGGATTAAATGTGACCAAGGTTATACGAGTTCAGAACAGTATCAGGTCAGCCACCTTGGATGCTCAACCAAGCGACACCTTCGTAAACAAGACGGTCAGCTTCCATGTGGGAATCACTCCTATTTCCACTCCAGCGACATATCAGTGGGACTTTGGGGATGGTACTTCTGCAGCTGTAACAACTACACCTTCTCTGAGCCATATCTACATCCTTCCTGGTCACTATGTGGTGCGAGTCAATGTCAGTAACCTGGTGAGCTTGGTTACAGCACAGGTTGATGTTAACATCTCTGTCCTAAAGTGCGACGAACCAGAAGTTCAGATCATTCAAGCTCCACGACTCGCCATCTGGCGTTACCAGCCAACCTTGGTAGAGGCCAATGTGAACTTAAAAGGCTGTGGCCTCTATGGAGTAGAGTACCTCTGGGAGATCCTTACCACCCCTCGCTGTCAGGATGATGAGAAGAAAGGTCCACCACCATCTAAGGTCCGTCTCCCTCCAGAAGTCAACGTCCGGAGGCTCCAACTTTCAGTGCCCAAGATGTCGATTTCTGCTGGGAACTACACTCTAGTTTTTTCTCTGTCCTATGAGGGGGTGCCACTACGGAAGGCAGCCTGTATTCAACTTTCAGTCATGTCCAAAAAGCTGGTGCCAATCATTGAGGGTGGCACATACCGTGTATGGTCCAAAACTCAAGATTTGCATTTGAGTGCAGAGCAGTCCTACGACCCTAACTTGGACCTGGAGAACCAGCCCCTGCTCAACTACCACTGGGAATGTGTGAGCACTTCAAAGGTAATCATGATTGATATGTCAAAGATATATAAAAATAAATGATTTTTGATGTTTTAAACTTGCAATGAAGAATATAAATCAGGGGCCTCCAAACTCGGTCCTGGAGTTGCCGGTGTCCTGCAGAGTTTAGCTCCAACTTGCCTCAACAGACCTGCCTGAAAGTTTCTAGTATGCCTAGTAAGACCTTGATTAGCTGGTTCAGGTGTGTTTAATTAGGGTTGGAGCTAAACTCTGCAGGACACCGGCCCTCCAGGACCGAGTTTGGAGACCCCTGACATAAATGGATCTAGGCCAGGGGTGTCCAATCCTGCTTTGAAAGGGCCATCTTTCTGTAGAGTTTACTTCCAACACACCTGCCTGCAAGTTTCTGTTGATCATGAAGACCTTAATTAATAGGTTCATCTGTGTTTAGTTGGGGTGGAGCTAAACTCTGCTGAAAATTGGCCCTCCAGGAGCCGGATTGGCCATCCCTAATCTAGGCTGTCAAATAGCAATAGATTTAAGAACAAATGTTGGTGTTTAGATTCCTCTAATATGTGAAGGACCTTGCGTTATTGATGACTGTTCATTCACTGCTCACATGTCTAAAGCTGAACAATCCAAATTGAGATTTTTTTTTTCTGGAAATAATCAGCGGATGAAAAGGTTTAAAAAGCATGGTTGTTGGGAGTGGGTTGGAGAGTTTGAGTAATTGGCATTAAAACAATTTACAATCAAGTGCTTTATTCACTGAGCTCATAGGCATATTTGAGAGCTGAAAGCTCTTAACATATATGTGAATATCTGAATTTGAGAGAGAAGTTGTTTGAGAATACTTGAGATAATTTATACTTGAGATCAGTTACATAACTAGCAGCGGATAAACTCTGCATTCCTTAGAGTTCTCCCAACCTATCATAGTGACTGCTGAAGGGGAACAGAGATTCCTGCTTTTTATTAAAACATTTTATCACTGACAGAAATTCAAAGTATTAGGTATAGTGAAATATTTCAAGAAATAACACTTCAGCCACAATAAATATGTATGAATGTCATTGCATTGGTTAATAAGATAAAAACCAAGTAGCGTTTATTTTAAAGGAAGCACAAGCACACTTTAAGCAAAATGTCTCAAAACAACATTTTTTAAGTTCTAAATGATAATGCAGTAGATTTATTGTCCAAAATTAAGACAAAAAGTACACTTTGTGGGTGTCAGACATGTATTCGGGATGCATTGACCATGACTATGCATCCCGAATACATGTCTGACACCCACAAAGTGTACTTTTTGGGTGTCAGACATGTATTCGGGATGCATAGTCATGGTCAATGATTAAAATGCTATTAGAAAACTCATTAGGTGAAGTCATTAAACAACAAAGGTACCAAAGCTTGTTTGATGATTATGCTCTTGGCTTGTATATCCTGAGGCAGGTAAATGGGTTGATTAATTACCATCTGCAGTGATTCTGTCTTTTAAAGGGGTCATATGACGTTGCTATAAAGAACATTATTTGGTGTATTTGGTGTAATGCAATGTGTTTATGCGGTTTAAGGTTCAAAAAACATCACAGCGTCTGCACGACATGGCGGCGGCAGCAACAATACTACAGCGAGAATCAAAGTTACGCCTTCTTTCTTTGCGTGAACATTTGGGCGGCGTTATGCAAATCTTCCCACATCGTGACGTAGACATGTGGAGGCGTGTTTAAACGAGGCGTTTTAGGAGGGCGTGGACGAGTCTTAACTTTGATAAAGAATATCTCTTTGGGTTTGAGACTTTAGTCTTTGCAACTTCTTTTTAGGGATCTCATCTATGCACGAACAGCTTGTAACACTCCAAAGAGAAAGGAAAACTTGAAATGTGACCCCTTTAACTTCACTCTGCAGGGCCCAGCTCACTGCTCCACTCTGCATTTCGGTTTGGGGCCAAGCGACCCGGTTCTGGGAATCTCTGGTTCTGAACTGGAGGTGGATGTTGAGTATACCTTTCGCCTGTCCGTCAGCAAAGAAGGCATGACCCCAGAATCCACAAACCAAACGGTGAGTGCTTTTATTATAGATTACTACAAGCTTTTCATATCTAATGTGTTTGTATTTGCATTTACAAATATGTCTTGTTATTCATTCTTGTCATTTGATCAACAGCTTTTTTTCTCCATCGCTCATACTCATTTTATATTACAAAGTACATCTCATTACATTTTAATTCTTTAAATTTTTAATCGTTTAAAATAAAATGAAAATAAAATAAAAATTTTATTCAATAACTACCTGCAGTCCAGTTTAAGCATGTTCAAAGTGCACTGAATAGAGCTGTCATATTTTAAGTCATTGTCATTCTTTTCAGTGCAAACACGCCTCTTTTCTATGTAAATTAGGCTCATTATAGAATACTAATTATCCACAATCAAAAGCATTTAATGCCACGCTGTTGCCACCCCATGGAAAGCTGGCAGTAAACAGATTTTAATTTAAAAGATACATTTGTTTACATTTTTTACCAATCATGACTGCAGTAAATCATCAAATTAGGAACAAAAGCACATCCTCCACCATCTCATTACACGAAACCGGTCTGTGAGATGTGTAATTGTGCCTTTTTTGTGGGGTGTAATTGTGCTTTTACCTGATATGCATACTTTCAATAGTGAAGTGTGAGCTAAAACAATGCAGTGCATGCAAATGAGCAAAGTTATGAGTGTTTGCTATTCATTGTTAGTTATTCCCGCCTTTTGTTTTGTTCTACAGCATTCAAATTAGTCGCTATTGTCATTACAAAATATTCATTCTTATTAAGCATACTTTGTATTTAGCTATAATTAACTGACCCGAACGGGTAAAATTAAAGTTTGTTACATAATTCAAAACATAATTTACTTTCTGACCTTCACAATTCTAAGCTACATGTGAAAGCTTGATATGTTATGCGAGTTTTGAATGAGAATGTATATGAAACTTATTTCACTCACTGAATTGAAATGGTTTGTTGGATCCTAAAGGGAATATTTTATGAGATTTAACTTTGAGGGTCTGATTGCTTTGGGAACCGAGATGTAATCAATTTGCAATGTCTATTGACCCCTAAAATCCTTTTTTTCCCTTCATAAACCCATTATTCCTGTGTCACATTCACAACAGGTATGGGAGATTTGCCAGTCTCAGCGCTAACATTGTTAATATTTGAATCAGTTCAAAGAGTGAGAGACGTTTCAAACTAATCAGTTTCCATCATAATTGCCATGTCAGTTTCCATGGTCAACAGAAAACATAATTGCATAACTTCAAGTTTGTTTTCCTCTGTCTTCTCCTGCTCACAGGTGTGGGTGCAGAACGGTCGCATCCCGATGGTGTCGCTGGAGTGTGTGTCGTGCAAAGCTCAGTCTCGCTACGAGATCAGTCAGAGCTCTTATGTGTACCTGGCTGGCACCTGCAATAACTGTCACAGCTCACACAGAGGGGTGAGAACAACCCTTACATGCACGGCCCACTCGTGACACGCTGTCATCAATCACAGGCTTACTATTAAACCAGTGTTGCCTATGGGAAAGTACGAAATGCAAAAATAATTAGAACTCCCTGCTGTTTCGGGCTGGTCGGGATGCTCAAATAGAACTCTTAAGCACGTCATAAAATCAAAATTGGACAAAATTATTTTTTGGCCTGTGAAATGCATATTTTAATTCCTTTATCTTCTAGCTTTCCAAAAAGCATGGAAAGCATGATATAATTTGTCCCTAGGACTAACACTGTCCTCATAGAATCTGAATGTTGGGAATTACATATTTTGGATTTTGTGAGTCACTCGTGCCTTATTTATTAGAGGAAACATGCCGTCATAATTTTTTGAAGAGAGCTGTACATGGAGAGATAGCGGCATGATGTCATTCTAGAACGGTTTGTCTTTTTTCACAGGCAATCCTCTTGCTTTTTTCCGACCTGCTTTCTCATAATGTTTAGACTGAGACTCGAGTGATGTTATGGTTATGGGAACCGGAGGGGAGACCTGAGTGGGCGTACGGGGTGATGTCATCATTATGATGTGATGTGTTCCACTGCATTAGCCGTTAACGACATGCCAAACCTCGTTAAACACGTATTTACTTGGCGACCGAGCGGTCAAACACTCCTTCCCCCTTGGTCTGGTTCCCGTGAGCCAGAGACAGTAAATATTATGGTACAAGTCAGGGACGCTTATCTAGTGGTTCAAACACTCAGTCTGAGATGAGTGCTGATTGGGATTAATGGTGATGGAGGTCACTGCAAGGTTACAGAAAAACCTACTTGGAACTCATTAAAAATGTAATGAAAATAATTTTAAAAACTAAAATTGTTTAGTTTTAAAATGTGTGTGTGTGTGTGTGTGTGTGTGTATGTATGTATAGAATTATATTGTAATAATCTGCTATATTAAATACATGAAAGTACATATATAAAAATGGCAAGGAAATACAACACCTTTTCTAAAGCTGTGAATTTGCATTTAAAATAATAATTGAATGTTTTCACTAATTTAAGTGTTTTTACTCATTTTAATAATATTAATATAAATATTCTTTATACATATATAACACAAGGTAGTTGCATTCAAATATTTTTTATTATTAATATTAATATTAATATTAATTATTAATAATTTGAAATATTCAGTTAATATAATACATTTAATTTTAACTAATGCGTTTAATGATTTAATGATTTTTAATTCATTTACATATGACAATTTTTGTATCTACAATTAAATGACATAATAAATGAATAATATTTTGAATTGTTAATGTTAATTATTAATAATATATATATTATATATACATAAATGACATTAAAATGCATTGGCTTTCCTACGTAGGCATTTGAAATAGTGTCATTCATGAATTTTAACACATCACATAATGTGTTTAATTTTAATTAACTATGTAAATGTATTCAAATAATATTTTTTATTTTTAATAGAGAATTATTCATAATAATTTACATACATTTAATAATTTAACTGCTCATTTTAAAGTGATGAATTTATTTAAGTCAATATTAATATGGAAATGACATGTAAATATCCCTGCCGTGTCTGTTGTTGTTGTTAGCGCTGGACGGCGATGACTGGAGGGAACGAGACGCTGGTGCTGGATCTGAACACCACCACCACAGGCAGCGACAGCATGAACCTGGTCCTGCGACAGGGCATCCTCCGTGACGGAAACTCCTACATATTCAGCCTCCATGTGACCGATGACAGCATGGACCGCGAAGGAGTGGCCTACATCGAGCTCCACCCCAACCTGCCGCCTGCCGGCGGGACATGTTCTCTGTGGGCGGATGGGGACGGGCCTCAGGTGCGCACACTGCTGGAGAGAGTGCACTTCAACTGCTCAGGTGAGACTGGAGAAGAAGGACTTTATGTACTGTAGGATACTGAGAAGGAGCAGAGCTGAACGATCGCGTCTGGTTTTCAGGTTACACTGATATGGATGAGACAGAGTCTCCGCTGGTCTTTAGTCTGCTAGCGGTGCGCTGCTCTGGGATGTACTGCGAGGAGTTCTGTGTGTATAAAGGCACGAGTTCAGAACATTCGGCCTTCCTGCCGCCGGGTTTCAGCTCGGCCCGGTACCAAGTGACTGCGCTTGTTATGGTGGAGGACCACCAGGGGGCGACAGTCATGGCCCGCAACAAGTAAGACACGGTTTGACTTCGAGACTTCATGTGTTCCTTTCTTTGCAGCCAGTGTTGTGAATGGTTTGTAATGCGTGTGTCAGGTCGATGGAGGTGGTGCTGCCGGCGGTTCCTGACGGATTCAGCTGTCTCCCTCACTGGCTCAGCAATCTAACCGACTCCACCCTGAGAGAGCTGCTCCGTCAGGGAGATTCACAGAGAGTACGGGAGCTCTCGCTCGCTCTCATCACCGTCCTCAATGAGGTAAGACAGACTGTCCATCCATCCGTCTATCATCTATCTATCTATCTATCTATCTATCTATCTGTCTGTCTGTCTGTCTGTCTGTCTGTCTATGTATCTGTCTTTCCATCATCTCTCTATTCATCCATCATCCATCTGTCTCATCTGTCTTCTGTTCATCTGTTTGTCTACCCATCTGTCTCTCTATTTATCTCTTCATCTGTCTATCAGTTCTATCAGTCATAATTTGAAATATTCAGTTAATATAATACATTTAATTTTAACTAATGCGTTTAATGATTTAATGATTTTTAATTCATTTACATATGACAATTTTTGTATCTACAATTAAATGACATAATAAATGAATAATATTTTGAATTGTTAATGTTAATTATTAATAATATATATATTATATATACATAAATGACATTAAAATGCATTGGCTTTCCTACGTAGGCATTTGAAATAGTGTCATTCATGAATTTTAACACATCACATAATGTGTTTAATTTTAATTAACTATGTAAATGTATTCAAATAATATTTTTTATTTTTAATAGAGAATTATTCATAATAATTTACATACATTTAATAATTTAACTGCTCATTTTAAAGTGATGAATTTATTTAAGTCAATATTAATATGGAAATGACATGTAAATATCCCTGCCGTGTCTGTTGTTGTTGTTAGCGCTGGACGGCGATGACTGGAGGGAACGAGACGCTGGTGCTGGATCTGAACACCACCACCACAGGCAGCGACAGCATGAACCTGGTCCTGCGACAGGGCATCCTCCGTGACGGAAACTCCTACATATTCAGCCTCCATGTGACCGATGACAGCATGGACCGCGAAGGAGTGGCCTACATCGAGCTCCACCCCAACCTGCCGCCTGCCGGCGGGACATGTTCTCTGTGGGCGGATGGGGACGGGCCTCAGGTGCGCACACTGCTGGAGAGAGTGCACTTCAACTGCTCAGGTGAGACTGGAGAAGAAGGACTTTATGTACTGTAGGATACTGAGAAGGAGCAGAGCTGAACGATCGCGTCTGGTTTTCAGGTTACACTGATATGGATGAGACAGAGTCTCCGCTGGTCTTTAGTCTGCTAGCGGTGCGCTGCTCTGGGATGTACTGCGAGGAGTTCTGTGTGTATAAAGGCACGAGTTCAGAACATTCGGCCTTCCTGCCGCCGGGTTTCAGCTCGGCCCGGTACCAAGTGACTGCGCTTGTTATGGTGGAGGACCACCAGGGGGCGACAGTCATGGCCCGCAACAAGTAAGACACGGTTTGACTTCGAGACTTCATGTGTTCCTTTCTTTGCAGCCAGTGTTGTGAATGGTTTGTAATGCGTGTGTCAGGTCGATGGAGGTGGTGCTGCCGGCGGTTCCTGACGGATTCAGCTGTCTCCCTCACTGGCTCAGCAATCTAACCGACTCCACCCTGAGAGAGCTGCTCCGTCAGGGAGATTCACAGAGAGTACGGGAGCTCTCGCTCGCTCTCATCACCGTCCTCAATGAGGTAAGACAGACTGTCCATCCATCCGTCTATCATCTATCTATCTATCTATCTATCTATCTATCTATCTATGTATCTGTCTGTCTGTCTGTCTGTCAGATCCATCCATGTCTATACATCTGTCTATCCATGTCCTTCCATCCATCTATCCATCCATCTATCTATCCATTCATCTCTATCATCCATCTATCCATCCATTCATCTCTGTCATCCATCTATGCATAGAGATCTATCTATCTATCTATCTATCTATCTATCTATCTGTCTGTCTGTCTGTCTGTCTGTCTGTCTATGTATCTGTCTTTCCATCATCTCTCTATTCATCCATCATCCATCTGTCTTTCTCTCAATCTGTTCATCTGTTTGTCTACCCATCTGTCTCTCTATTTATCTCTTCATCTGTCTATCAGTCTACCCATCCAAGCCATCTATCCTTGTATCAGTCTGTCCATCTATTATCCGTCTATCTGTCTGTCTGTCTAGCTTTCTGTTATCCATCTTTCATCTGTCAATCATCCGTCCGTCCGTCCGTCGTGTCTTTCTCCGTCTGCTCATCATCTCGTGTGTGTTTCTGTGTCAGTATGAGCAGGGTGTTTCCCGCAGACGTGAGCGCGTGTCTAAGGCAGAGCGTCAGTATCGCGTGAGCGTCAGAGGAAACATCACCAGAGCGCTGACATCACTGGACCTCACCACGGTCAATGACATCCAGCAGACATCAGCGGCGCTCGCGCAGTGCACGGTGAGACCAGACGCTCTCATGCATTCAATCCTGAACCACTTCAAAGACACGAGACACATGACCGCTCACAGAGCGAGAAATAAAGGCTTTCTTGTGTGTGTTTGTTTGCAGGCTGTGAGTCGAGAGTTTGTGTGTGAAGAGTGTCAGAACAGCACTCTGGACAAACTGGAGTCGATGTTAGAGATCCTGCAGACAGACACTAAACAGGGCACAGTCACCCCGACCGAGATAGCAGACAACATACTCAATATCATGGGTAACACACACACACACACACACTCTCACTGTTGAGACAGCAAACAGAATCATCCATTTCATGGCTATGTTATGCTAACACACTCACAAGCAAACAAATAACCCCAGAGGCAACACACTGTTATTGTTCACTTGTTTACATGTTTTCATTTTTCTCATTTCTTACTAAATCTTATCTGAACTAAATCTACGTATGAATTCTAAAGAAAATACAATAAAATATTTCACAGTAAAATGCCCCAACCTGTATTTAATTATTAATCATTTAAATAAAAAATTTTAAATTATCTTTTTGATTACAAGATCTGTTCCTCAAGATTAATATTTTTATTCATAGAAATTATGTATTAATTATATATTATATTATATTATATTATATTCCACAAAAGCTTTGATTTATCTTCATTTGATGTATCTTCATTTTGGATTTTTTTTTCTGAGCAGTGTGATTAATTACAATTAATTCTGTTGATTTATCAACATGCAACTAATTTTTGATTTTTTTTTTTATTGACAGCCAAATTAAATCAAATTCTAATCAGTCTTGTAGCACTTCACTCCTCTTTTTGGTCTTTCATGGAGCCTTTTATCCTGTTCCTGCTGGTTTTCAATATTCATCCGGTCAATAAATCTGTTTCCCCCTCAGGTGACCTGATCCACCAGGTGAGCCAGGCTGCCTCCTCTCCACCTCCGGAGGCCGAGGACCGCGGCGACCTCTCCCAGCAGCCTCCGTTTCTCTTAGAGGAGCAGCAGCATCACCCGCTGCGGGTGGCCGCTAAAGCCTACACCCTGTCCTCCGTCCTCATGCGAATCCTCATGCTGGGCCGCGTCCTCAATGAGGAGCCCCTGATCCTCCGCGCGGCCGAGATCGCAACCGCCGGCAAACGCGCCGACCCGCAGAGCCTGCTCTGCTACGGCGAGAGCGACGCGCCTGAGTGCCGGCGTTTTTCCATCCCGCGAGCGTTCAACAGCAGTCTGGGACGGGCAGCAGGGGGTGCTCTGGCGCCCAACAGCGAGGATGGCATCGTGCAGCTGCTGTTCCAAGTGGAGCCCAATCCCTTTCCGTTCAACTACATCGCCAATTACACCGTGTCGACGGAGGTGGCGTCCATGGAGTTTCGCACGGTGAACGGGACACAGATTCCCATCTCGGATCTGGACGACAGCCATGCCATAACAGTTGCCGTTAATAACGGGAGCGCGGCTGGGCTGGACGGTAACGGATTGGAGGCTATCTTGCCGCCAGCGGGAGCCGAGAACATCAGCCGCTGCGGTTCAATCATCGTGAGGGTGAGCACGAGGAACACCAACAGACAAGCGGGAATCTACGTCCAGCTCAACTTCACCGTACTAGACGGTAAGACGCCCAACACAAGGGGGAGCCACTAAAAAAAAAACATTCAACAACAATCACAAACTGTGCCAAAAACTTTAAAAAACTAAAGACTAATTTATACTGTATGAGAAAATTGTTATAAATTGTTATATTATAAAGATAACATGTAAAATGGCTTTTATATGGTCATTGTACTTAAGAAAGGTGTTGAAATATTGTCTGAAAATATTACTTTGTAAATTATAGATATGTAAATTAAAAAAGAAAAAGTAAATAATAAAAAGAAAAAGTAAAACATATTATATTATTTAAAAATATAATTTTATTTTAAGATTATTTTTCTGTGATAGCACTTCCATAATAAATTTTTTTTTCTACAAAATTGTAGATGTATTTTTTCTCCTTCTGTTAAAAACTAGTGCTATAATAAAATTATCACAATTAATCGCATGATACCTGATCCGTATTTAGAAAGCTGAATGAGAAAATATCATCAAATTGTGAAATTTTCAAAAATAGATAAATAAACATGAAATAACATTTTTCATGATATTTGATTAATAAAAGACATTAACTTGGCACAGTGTTATTTTATTATTTATATATTATTATTATAGTGGTTTTTAATATTGAATTAGTAATATTATTTAATATTGAATTAGTTTTTTTTATTTAATTACAGTTTAAGTTTTAGTAATTTTGTTATGCTTTTGTCATTTTTATTAGTGTTTGTTTTTTTTAATAGTTCTGTTTAGCATGAATTTATTTTTATTTCATTTTTAGTCATTTTTTTTAAATAAAATAAAAAGTATATTTTATTTTATTATTTTATTTTATGTAAGCGTTATTTCAGTTACTTCCTCCAGGTTCATTTTATTTTGGCCAAACTAACAGGCTAGTTGACTAACTGGAGCAAGTACTAGTTAGTACAGCACATGATCAGTGTATAGTAATATATGTATAGTAATGCATTGTAAAAGTCACCTTTATATCTCCATGTTGGAGAGGAAATAGTATTTTCAGGGAAATTCATCCTCCAATGTTTCTTGTTTTTATTGATCTCTGAACACCTATTTCTTTTCGTCACTTTGTCCTCAGATTCTCCAGAAAAGTGGGAATTGGATCCATTCATCACAGCATATCTGCACACCTCCGAATGGCCCAATGAATACAACAGCACTGACAGGAAACGCATCACACTCGATATGACGCGGGGGCGGGACCTGGACCACCGACTCTACACTTTCTTCCTGTCTCCGAAGTAAGAGGCGTCTTTTTTCCCCTAATGTTTTGATGTTTCTCACTGATGTGTATGGCAGAATAATATTGGAAGTGCATGTTGATGAAAGGCCTTTCATCCATAATAAATGATGCGTTTGGAAGCAGGAAGCTCTGTTGTTTGTTAAAATCAACATCAGTCGCCACAGGAGTGACTCATTCATTAAAATCAGCAGTGAAGATGATGTTTTTCACAAAGCACCGAGAGCGGCTCATCCTGCCAGATATGAAACTCTAAATTATTCATTTTGTAAATTTTGTTTTTGATTGTCAGCCAATAAAATAAAAGCATTTGCCATTACGCACTAATACACACAAATTAGTTTTTTATTCTGATTTCTCATTTCCGTTCTCCGTGTCAGGTCCTATGACACCACGCGTGATCACTTCATAAACGTGTCGACGGGCTGCGGCGCAGACGATCCGCATCTGATCCGGCTGGAGGTGGCCGTCTTCACCTCGCTGTGTCAGTATTTCAGCGAGAGCAGCAGTCAGTGGCGGACGGACGGCATGCATCCGCTTCCCGAGACCAGCGTGAGCCGAGCCGTGTGTCGCACGCATCATCTCACCGCTTTCGCCGCGAGTCTGTTCGTTCCCGTCGACGCCGTCTCCTTCATCATTCCTGTGAGTATTACAACTCAACTCCGCTGCCATTTGGTTTTTCGTAATACTATTAATAATATATTTTGAAATTAACCTTAATTCTGTCCAGACATACTAGTAATGATTCTTTAAAATAGTTAAAAATATATTTCATTAATTTATTGTTTTATATATGTTTTAATTTTAAAATATGATATTATATTATATTAGCAGTAGTAATGATTCTTTATATTTTTATGTATTTCTATTTTAGTTTAATTGATACATTTTTTTATCTATATTATATTATAATTTCAAAAAATAATTAAAGAATAAAATTAGTAATTGTTTTATTTTTTTAAATACTTTTAAATCAGCCTTCCTTCCGTCCGGGCATAATTGTAACAGTATATTTACTACTATGTCTAATATTTTTTATAATATTTTTAAAATCAGCCTTCTATCAATATATAATTTTCTTTTTTAATTCATATTTATATTTCTGGTTTTCTCAAGTTTAATATATACTAAGCAGTTAAATTATTAATATTAAATTATTATTTCACAAATTGTGTATATTTTAATTCTCAAAAACTATATATATATATATATATATATATATAATATAAAAAAATTATTTTTT